TGATGAATCATCCTGATTATTTGAAGAAAATCCCAAATTTGTTGCCTCAATTAGGAAAATGAACAGTTGTGGATATTCTTTAGGGTCCAATCCATCAATAGTTGTCATGACTTCCTCAAAACTCCACTCGGATGAGAAATGAAGGACTTTGCAGATACTTTTGACTTCATTCTTTACATTTTTGCCATCTTTTGATAATTTAAAGATTAATTTTTTATCAATTTTAATTAAATTTGCATCGCTGAGAAGACTTGGTGGTGATTTTGGAGGTTCAATGACTTCAACTTGCTTAGAACTGGAACTGCCTTGCTCATAAATCTCGTCAGACATTGCGCAGCGTTTAAATTTTTCTAAAAAAAGAATGAAAATTTATTGCTTCATTTTTATTCATCAGCACACATGCTTAGTCATCGCTTACAAAATAAAATATGAAAAAATGTCAAGCAAAAATTTTTGTACCTCAAAAAAAGTGATGAAATTCACAAAATTACACGTCAACTTTATATGATCAAGATTATTGGTCACATTAACTTCACTAAGACACAATTAATAAAACTTTTAAAGTTTTTGTAAAAGTTGAATTTAAAAAATTTAAAAATGTTTTCGAGAAAATAAAAAACTTGATCGTATTTGTCAAATTCCAACACAAATGTAACAAAATTAAATAATTCTTATCTATGACGAAATAACATGTTATCTTAGTAGCGGTATAGCTTGAAAAGTTCGCTTGGATTTGGGGGAATTGTGGAAATGTAAATGGTAATGCTGAAATGATTCTGTTAATTTGGTTAGAATGAAAACTTATTTCCCCAAATGGATCTAATATTTGGGTTACTGGAATTGCAATTGGTCTAAAGTCTCCAACGCTCGAATCAACTTGCTGTATTACGGTGATTGTTTGTGTTAAAACAGGGTTGTATCCACTTGGTCTATCGTAATTTAATTCACTGAAAGTTATGAAACGACCGTGTAAGCACGAATTGTCTTGATAACCACTCATACACGTGTTAAATTGAATAAATATGATGCTTTTATAATGTAAACCACTTATTTAGGTTCTTTTATACTTCAAATGTTTCCAGTTATGCACCAGATCTATGAAATTTACTTTTATTTTGTAAACTTTATGCAAACTTACTAAAATGTGTTCTAAATTTAATGAAAATTATATTTTGACCCCAATTATGCATCAACAACACCAAAACTCAAGAAATTTGCAATTATTTCGCTTTGTGCAAGCTTCAGAATTGCCTAAGATAAGCTTTAAATGCTTTATTGTTGCTTAACTTTAATTAAATTCAAATATTGCAAAGAAATGCGTTTTGAAACTTGAACAATTTTTTTAAAAAATATATTTTTTTTGAATTTGAAAAGTTTTATCGAAGTACTGGTATGTGGTTTAGAGGAATAAGCAGTTCCATTGTGGCTGAAAAAGGGTTTTTTTCAATCAAACACATCAACATCCTTCGACCCCAAACCTCCTTTCTCCTTTATAGAAACTTCAACTATCCCACAAATGTGATTCCTTTTTAGCGTATTTACCTTAACTTTGGCTGACTGATTGGTTGGCTGGCTGTCTCAAAAACTCGGAACTGGAAGTACTTAGAGACTTCTAGTTTTTTTCATTCGAAAGCTGATATTCGAGAATATAGGCGATAACTAGCTTCTATACTAGTTATCAATGTTTTAGCATTTTTGTGACAGAATCAATGTTAATAATGATTTCATGTCAATGTCCACGTACATCCAAATTCTCAATAATTCTTCAAACTTACTTTACTCTCGACCTGCAATACAAAAATACATCCATTCAGCATAAAACAGCATTAAAAAGTCGTGCATGAATGATCGCAATCACACATGCCATAAACTATTTTGAGCATAAAAGGCAGGTAATGTTGCGAATTACCACGGCATTTAACAGCATTTAGTGTCAGAATTCATCTTAAGACTCATAAATTTCAAGCTCTGAGCTTCACTTACAGAAGATGCAGCATATGCATGACTTGATAATGATGATTCTGATGCAGGTGGTGGATGTGGATGTTGTGGAATGGAATTTGTAAGATTAAGCTATGATTCTGGATTCTTGAAGGTTCATTAGGTTCTAAAATTGAGCAGCAAGTCCCAGGAATCAATACACAGACAAGCTAGATCTAATAATTCAAAAAAATTGAGTTAAGAATGCCTGATTCTCATATTTCAGTTCCTGAATTTGTTTTGTGGTCCATAAATCATCATGAACTAGCTTAAGAGCACCAATAATAAGGCAAGATGAGTACAAGCTATTCATAATTGCAATATGCATGCATAGAAATGAATAAAAGAGAGATCTATAGCTGCAAATAAGCATGTAAGTCATGACATGTTGATTATCTTGTTGAAAAATTATTCAAACAGCAATAAATCGAGTCCAAGACACACAAAATGTTCAGCACAGACGAGAGCTCGAGAATCAAAACAAACAAAAAATTATGAAACTTTTCATGATCCACAACTACTTCTGCTGATGCTGATGCTGGTCAATAGTTCAATCACGAGAATGCCGGAACGGCATGAGAAATTTTTGCGAAATTCAATTTTTTTCTTTTACTTTATTGAGATGTTAAAAACTTTTTATTTCAACTTTTTTTCTTCTTTCTAGCATTTTTTTTTTTGCTTTTGCTGCTTGCTTGCTGCTGCTGCCAGTTGATGATCGATTGATGTCTAATTTTGTGCCTTCTTTTTCGTCTTCTTTGTTGCTGCTTTTGCTTTGGTTTTAACTCGATTTCTTCAAACTTACATGATCAATAACACTGAAATGTGCATTACTGCTCAATTATTGGATATAATGTGAGTAGTTATTGGGGTATGAGGTGCACAAAGCGCACTTTTTGGGAACTTATTGACTTTGTTGGTTTTTAGAAATTTTTGAAATAAAAAAAAACATTGAAAATTGAATAAAAAAAATCAAAAAATTGAAATCTGGATGAAAAAATTATAAAAAGTCAAAAAAATTAAAATAATTTTATAATTCAAAAATTTTGAAATATTTGAAAAATTAAAAAAAAATTTAAAATAATTTTAAAATTGAAAATTTTTGAAAAATTGGAAAAATTAAAAAAGTTTAAAAAAAATTGAAAAAATTAAAAGCACCACAAAATCTTTTAAAAAAATCCCAGTCAACCCCAAACTGCATCTCAATAGCACCGAGAACACCAAAAATAAACGTTCCATTTCTAAACAATTTTTTCATTCAAATAAAAAGCCAATTTGATTGAATCCCCATCATCAGCATCAAGCTCCAGTCAAGAATTATGAGCAATCTCGAACGTGTATGAAGTGAACTTAAGATTCATAAAATCTCATATAAAAAAGTTTCTACGTGCATTACAGTTCAGTAGATGGATGGACTGACTCAATAAAAAATAAAATGCGATCAAAAAAAAATGAGAAATAATTTGCAATGTTGTTATGTGGCGCAATAAATCATGCAACGGCAGCAGAAATAGACAAAATTGAGATTCGGTTCGTAGTTCTTGGAATTTGATGCAGTTTTGAGTGCGTGAGAGGACTTAAGGAGATTTATGTAAGGTTTTAGAAGATCTGAAAGTGTTTGATGAGGTTTTTGATGATGTGAAATGATCTAAAGGTGGCTGAAAGAGTTCAAATTAGTATGAAAATGTCAAAAATGGAACTGATGTATTTTAACAAAGTTTTAAATGATAAAAAAGGTTCTGAAGAAGTCAATCCTCATAACTTGGTGACAGCAAGCTTAAATATCATTGAAATTGATCTTTTTGAACACAAAACTGCTTCAAAAATCATCAAAAATTTAAAATAAAATTCTCAGAGTCCAAAAAACCCTTCAAAAAGTCACCAAATCTCCTCACACATCCCAAATTGAGCATAAAAATCATTGCCAAAAAACAACTCACTTCAAAATGCGTCTCTTGAGGATAATTTTTAATGCCAATAATTCGTCTTTCTATGAACATTTCTCATCTCATTCCTACTCAACCAGCCTGTCTGCCTGCTTCTGTTGCTGTCTGTGACTGACAAACACACAGCAAAAAAAGTAAATAAAATGAGATTAAAAAGGTGCTTGCGGATTTTTTTCTCATATTTTTTAATGTTTTATTAAATGTTGGAACATGTTGGGATGAAAATTTGATGAGATTATGCTGGATAATCTTGCTGGATCTGCTGCTTTTCATATTTTTGAATTTTTGAGTCATGAAACTTTAATTCCGACTTGTTTTTGATATTTTTTGTTGAATTTTTCATCATTTTTTGTGGCAAAAATCACCTCAGCACTTCCCATAGCTTCTTAACTTTATTTTTTCATCAATTTACGTTCATCCACATCCACAACACTGTACATTATGCCTTTAAACTTTGAAATTTCTTTCATTTCCAATAAAAAATTGATTAAAATGAAGATTGAAGGGCGCTTTAATGCTCGCGCATATCAAATTGAATTACGTGACGAATTTATGTTTACAGAACACAGCAAGGCAAAGGAGCAAGAGCAAGCAGTGCTGAGCATTTTTAATAGTTTTAAGTGCAACCTCGCGATACACTTTAGATGTGCAGTGCCGTGTTGGATGGCATGACTTGGGTCAATTGATGATGATGATAATGTGTAGGTCATGTTGAGGTTTAATGGAAGGTCAACGACAGTTGCTGATGATTGATAAAGGTGGCATGTTAAAGGCTTGTTTTGCTGTTTGAGGAATTGCATTGTCTTGTGAGTTTTTGTTGATGGATAAGTTTTGGAACGGGCATTAAATCATTACTGAAAGGCTGTGTCAAAATCGTCAGAAGGGCTCCATACTTCAGCCCATACTCAGGCAATTCTGACAATTTCACTTCAAAGGAAGTGAATAATTCAAAACTATCCAATAAAAGTGCATAAATTCAATTATTGAAGTTTCAATCCGGAATATTTACTAAGTCATTTATCTTATTTACCATGTTTAATAGCAAGCTGATAAGCCAGTATGTATACAGACATTAAGTGCATTGAAGCGTTATAAATTTGAGCATTTCATGTTCAACTAGTTCAGTCAATATCTTAGCTTAGAATCAGTTAAATCAACTTAAATAAACTATGGACAAGTGGGTCGGCAAGATCGCAGTGGTCACCGGAGCCTCATCAGGCATTGGAGCTGCAATAGTCAAAGATTTAGCTAAGCATGGCCTAATTGTCATCGGACTAGCTCGTCGCTCTGAAAAAATCGATGAAATTACAAAGGAAATGAAAAACACACGTGGAAAAATCTACAGCCACAAGTGTGACTTGAATGACTTAAATTCCATCAAGAACTCGTTCAAGTGGATTGAAGGAAAGTTCCAGAAAGTTCACATTTTAGTCAACAACGCAGGTTTGTCTCATGTTGGAAAAATCTTTGACCAAAGCGACGAGCAAACTAGAAACTTAAATGAAGTCATTAATGTCAACTTTACTGGACTTGTTCATACATCGAGAGAAGCTTTTAGATTGATGCAAGCAGCTAATGACTACGGAATGATTATCAACATCAGTTCCATCGTCGATTCAGTCATTCCATTTCCATCATCATCAACTGTCTATCCAGCAACAAAACATGCAGTCCGTGCATTAACCGAAAGCATTCGTCAAGAGCTTGTAGTTGGAAATAATGATAAGATTAAGGTTTCCAACCTTAGTCCAGGTGTTGTCAGGACAGATTTTGTGCGTGTATCTGGACGACCAAATCCTGATGAATTTTATAAATCTATTCCTGGATTGGAAGGTGCTGATATATCTCAAGGGGTTATTTACTTGTTGAGTACCCCTCATAATGTTAATGTGACACAACTTACGATTAAGCCCGTTGGTGAAAAGTATTGAAATGCTTTTTGATGAATAAAAATTGATTAAAATAAATAATAAATATTTAATTAATGGACATCGCTTTAAGGCAGTGGTGGTCAACCTTTATTCGACTAGCAATTGAGTTGAGAATGCCCTGTTTGAGTTAAAATCTTAGAATTCTTGTATTTGCTGCGTATTAAAGCTTCCTTAAAAAACTAAAGAGTACCGTAGCACACAGGTTAGTCATCGCTAGATTAAGTATCAATATAAAACACAAAATTGCATCAAATCAATTAATAACAAAATTAGAACCTTGAATATTATTTAATTTTCATCTATCTTATCTTCCTTATTTAACAACTTACTGATAAGTCATGAAGTGCTCTCAGAATTTTGATAAGTTTGAGCATTTTTTACTCAGTCACTCGTTGAGTTTTGAGTCGTTTGGATCGAACATTGTGATTTTATAGAAGTATAAGCTCAATTTTTCAATTTTTCCAAATTTTTTTATTATTTCAACTGAAAATTCCTTCAAGTAAATCATGGACAAGTGGATTGGCAAGATCGCAGTCGTCACTGGAGCTTCGTCAGGCATTGGAGCTGCCATAGTCAAAGATCTAGCTCAAAATGGTTTAACTGTCATTGGACTAGCTCGTCGCTCTGAAAAAATCGATGAAATCGCAACTGAAATGACGACAGCACCTGGAAAGATTTATTCCCACAAATGTGACTTGGCTGACTTCAACTCCATCAAAGAAACTTTCAAGTGGATAGAAGAAAAGTTCCAAAAAATACACATTTTAGTCAATAATGCTGGATTAGCTTGTATTGGAACTGTCCTCAATCCAAGTGACGAACAAACTGCCAAGCTGAATGAAGTCATTAATGTCAACTTTACTGGGCTCGTCCATACAACAAGAGAAGCTTTTAGACTCATGCAAGCAGCTAATGACTACGGAATGATTATCAACATCAGTTCCATCGTCGATTCAGTCATTCCATTCCCATCATCATCAACTGTCTATCCAGCAACGAAACATGCAGTTCGTGCATTAACTGAAATTATCAGACAGGAACTGATTGTGGCTAACAATGATAAGATTAAGGTTTCCAACCTTAGTCCAGGTGTTGTCAGAACTAACTTTGGACATGCAGCAGGACGACCAAATGCTGAAGAATTTTACAAAACAATGCCTGGATTGGAGGGTGTGGATATATCGCAAGGTGTGATTTATTTACTGAGCACTCCACATAATGTCAATGTGACACAACTTACGATTAAGCCTGTTGGTGAAAAGTTTTGAATTTAATCGAGTTTTTTTGTGTAAAATAAAATTTGGTTAAAGATATTTTTAATAAAATGGAGCAGGAGGGGGGGGGGACATAAAGTTGTTACATAAAGTTGTTATTTTTTTATCTTAACCTTAAAAAATTGTAGAAATTCTTCCAACAGATGAGCGGTTCTGAACCGGATATTCCCTAGCTTCAATAATATTAATGATACTATTGAGAACTTCAATTTGTCCAAACTTTTACCTACTACCTGATTTAAACTTTTTTTGCTATAAAATTTCATCGGAAAGTTCGGTCATCGCCAGTTTGAGATCTAATTTTATCGATGATAAACAGCCGAGTGCAAATCATTATTTAAAATCAAGAACAAATCAGCATTGAAGTTTCAAAAATTCAAAAAAATGTCAAGAAAAATTTCGCAATTTTTTCCAAAAGTAAACACAATCAATCATGAAAAAAACATCAAAATTGAACAAGAAGTTGTGATCCAACAAGAGCCAGAAGATATCATTTATTATGGATCAAAGTTCATACAGGACAGATAATTTCAATAGATTCAGCCATAATTCACCTAAGTTTAAGCAAATAAGATCAAAAACTCAAATTCCTTCAAACAATATCAAAGTGGAACCAGAAATTGATTTAATAGCCATCCTAGAACCTCAAAGAATCAAGCTTGAGGTCCCAAAACCTCAAAGAATCAAATTTGAGGTCTCACAACCTCAAATCAAAGAAAAACCAGCCCCCCCCCCCCCCAAAAAAAAACATGTTGACTAAATTTTTATAGTTTTTTATCTTTAGAGAATAATTTACACTAAAGACCCCCCAATCGCTAGAGATGATCTGGACATGTGTTCAGACGCTCGCAAGATGCCCCAGTACTAAAAATAACAGTAGCAAGTTTTATGGATGGCAAGAGATCACGAGGAAGACCGAAGATCTCGTGGATTAAATGTGTTGAAAAGGAAGCTAGAAATTTTAGTATCCCAAACTGGCAGTAGGTTTCTAAGGATAGAGCTGTCTTCAGATGATCTCTAAGCGTGGCAGTGGACCCACGTGTGCACCAACCAAAGAAGTAAATCAAGTTAAGAACTCCATTTTTTAATAATGTGTGAAGGGCCCAGCCTTTCAGCTGGAAGCACTGTGATCCAAATTAGAACAGAATCTATTGTACCACATCTTTTAAAAGGCCCAAAAATAGCACCAAAAATTTAGCAAAAAATATTCTGAAAAATAAAAGTATTTTGATAAAATTTAAATTCATACAAATACTCTCAAAACTCATTCAATTTTCAATGTGGTTGCAGCATTCGTCTGATGAGATTCTGATTAAGTTTTATTTATTTTTTTCATATTTCCTTTCATTTCCACTACTTATTAATGAGTTTAAAAAACTCTTTTTGCAGTTCTCAGACTGCTCAGAAAAAATATTCTCATTTAATTTACTTTTTTCCTTCTTTAATTAACTTTTTTTGCTGCTTATTGCTGATTCTGATGGATTTTATAATATTTATTTTATTTAATGAGATGAAAATTGTGAGGAAAATTTTTTATTTATTGAAAAAAAAAATATTTTCTCTTGAATTTTTTTATATTTATTTATTTTGTGCAAAAACAGGTTGGAAGTGAGAGTTGGAGGTGCACTGGAGATGAGGATGGAAAATTCATATAAAAAATTAAAATTGAAATTCTAGAAAATAATTGAAATAAAATGAAAAAATGTTCTTGAAAATCGCCAGGCGACGGTAATTTTAATATGCTGAGTATTACGTTACTTATAAATTACCCCAAGAAATTTAAAGAATTCTCAAAAATACACCTCAAACCCAGATTTTTTTATCACTATTCTCCTCATTTTTATGGATTTTTCTGCCCATTGCTTCACTCCAACCCACCCTAAAACCTTCCACATCGTCTTCATATCTTTTAATTTATTCACGGGTGAGTTCACTTCATTCCTTGCCTGCCTTCCTTCCTCCTTTATTTTATTTTCTCTCAACTCACAAACACAAAAACAAGCGAAAAAAAAAGAAGAAAATTTTCTTTATTTAAATTCATTTCACCCCATCTCGTCCCCCCCGTTCCCTCCTTCCCACCTCATGTCCATGAAGTTGTTCTGTGCGTTGCTTCATATTTTTATTCATTTACAGCATTAAATGTACGAAGGACTTACTAAGATGATGACTATGATGACTATGGTGATGGTGAATAAATGGAATGGATGGAATTGGATGTGGAATGAGGTTTGGTGAGGATGGATTTAAGGAATGAAGATTGGCATGAAGCACAAAAAAAGAGAAAGTTGAAGAAAATGAAAATTAATGGTTTTGAATGGAATATAAAGCGCGATGAGGACATGAATGGCGAATAACCCCGAATATGTGTCTTGTTGAGTCTTGGTTGGGATGTTGAGAGGCTGATTGGGGTGATTTTGAGGTTGGATTGGTGGAATTTTTACGAGAAAGTGATGAAAAATTAAAAATAAATTAAATTGAAATTTTGCTGATTTTTGGAACATTTTGTTAAATAACCGACGGTTTATATGAGAAAATGCTCGACTGATTTGAGTAAAATTGAACTTTTGACACAAATGTTTTATATGAATTGAGACTTTGCACTACTGCGAGGTTCCTAAGACACAATTAGCACCACTTTGTTCATATTGAACATCCAATCTCAAAAAACAGAGCTCAGGGTGCCTTTCCAGACTTCAGTATCCTTTCAAAGCTCCAAAAATCAAGAAATATTTTAAATCTTGTCCATCTTCATCCCTCAAAAAATCCTCCAAAAATTCTCAATCCGAAAAAATATTTTACAACAATTTAAAAACCCAAAAAAAAAATCAATAAATTTTCTCTCATTTTTCTTAATAAACTTTCCAACTTTCTCTTGTTCCATTCTTCAGTCCGCGAGATATTCAAAATCATTAAAGTACATAAAAAAAATCTCCTTTGCATGCACACAACAACAGCATCAGAAGAATGAGTGACTCGAGGGTGATTTTTCCTCCTTTTTTTCTTAATTTAACTTTTTTGTGTCGTAAAAATGTAAAAAAAAAAATAGGAAAAAAATCCTTCGTGCATAATTAGGGGACGATGAATGCTATATGAACACGCACATGCTCTATACTATCACCATTACTGGCACTCTTGATGCTGCTTTTTGTATTTTTTTGTTACAAAGTGGAGAAAAAAAGGAAAAAATAAGAAATGTTGAAGAAAAATCCTTCATGTCCTGGGATATGAAACAATTGAGAATGGTATATGGAGGTGGGGTGCGATTAAGGAACTTAGAGTCATGGGATGGAAACTCGGAGTTACTTTGGATCATGAATTTGTAGAATATTATCAAAAACTAAGTCAAAAATACAAATTTATGTCAACAAACACAAAGAACCAATATCAATCCCCTCCAAGTGTCCATCCCTTGTCCAAGAAGACAAAGCATCAAAGCTAAGGCTCCTTTGAATAATAAAAATAATAATATCAATAAGGAGAAAAAGAAGTAAAAAAAAGTTGAGGGTTGTGAAACATCATTGCATGTTCATGGATAATGGACGATATGAGAGTTTCAAGGCACAGAGAAGAGTCAGTCAATGTTGATGAAGATGAGCAGCATAACTGGAATGAGATTTCTCAGCGTCATTAAAAATATTTATTTTCATTTTCTTAATGCAGCAAAAAAAAAAGGAAAAAGCAAAGTCGAAGACGAAGGAACTTGCGAGTGTGTTTGTGTGCTGCATAAATCCACTAATGACTTTTCCCTCAAACCACATTGGAAATTTTCAACTATTTTTGTGCTGTTGCTGCTGTCTTTTTGCCTCCCAGTCCTCAGTCATTTCCACAGCCACAATAAAATAAACTTTGCCAACGTCTTTAAATTTTTTTTTATTCTTTTTTGTGTTGAATTTCTTTAAATTAAAGAAATGGGAAGGAAAACAGTGGAAAATGTAAACCAAAAATGATGCGTTTTTTGACTTATGAATATTTCATTGCAAAATCTCAATTTGTTTACATTCAATAGTCAAAAATACCTAAAGTTTAAGAATCTTCAGGTCGAAAAAATAACAAAGATTTTAGTGCTTTTGGACAAAATCTCAATACCTGAAATTTTTGAGAATATAAATAGTTTCAGAATTTGGTCCTAATCATCAGTATCGTATCAGAAACTACACAAACAACATCTCCAGAAATTCTCAAAAAGTTTAACAAATTTCGTCAACGAAAATTCTCCAAAAAACAACGAAATTCTCAAAATTTAACCAAATTAAATCCAAAATTTATCAAAAACTTAATTGAAATAAATCAAAATGAAGAACATCAATTCCGAAATTAAACAAAACTCCACAAACATGTCCGAATCACTTGGAATCTTCAGTCAAATCCAACACAGTGTCAACAACTTCACCCAAGCTTACCAGCAACCAGAAGATAACTTCATGTCCAACCTGACTGCATTCGATCAGAATGTCAAATATTCTCCAGAAGACGAAGAAGCCTGCAACTTAAGCTTCGATTCAACACTCAGTGCTACTGAAATTGAGAATGATTTGGACGACATGGAAATTGAAGACTTTGGCGAAGCTGAGCAGTTATTTGAAGATGCAGCAGACTTCTCCGAATTATTGACAGAATTAACTGAAGAATTTCCAGCACTGGATGAACTCTTGAATGCGGAATTGGGAGCAACAGACTTGACAATCACAGAACAGTTCCAACTTCAGAACAGCCAACCCTTCATACCAGAAGTAGCTAAACAAGAAGTCATCAGACAAGCCGAGAGCAATACAGTCTTTAAAAGCGAATTTGCATGCTCAATCTGCGACAAGGACTTTACAGCATATTCATCGTTAACTCGTCACTACAAAACACAAAAACATCAAAGAATGGAAGCAAAATTTCAAGAACAAGGAGCACCAAACTTGAGCTCGTCGGTTCAGACACAGAACTTCAGCTCCAATCAACAAGTTCAAATGCCAGTCATTAACTTCGTACAACATCCAAGCATCTATCAATGTAAAGCCTCGAATGCTGAACAAAATAGAATTAACTACATTAACAAAATCAGAGAATCAAGGAACAAGACAATGGACCAAAACAGAATGATGTCAGCTACGCCAGAGAAGTTATTCATGATAGTTGAGCCCAACAAGGTACCAAAGCCAGAAGAATGTGTCCAAAGAGTCCAGATTTTGGATGAATTTGCTAGTTTTGGATATGGAGGAAGTTTCAAACAAGTTAACAGACTTCAGGAAATGTTGCAGGAAGTTCCAACATATCAAGCTACACCAAAGGCATCATCAAATGCCACAAAGACAGCAATCGAGAACTCGATCAAAATTCTGTCAAAACTCAACACAGAAAATTCATCAAAGTCACCAGAACTGACAGAATCATCACCAAAGAAGCAAAACAGCCTCAAACAACTGACATTGAGGGACATGGCTTTCAATAAACCAGCAACAACACAGAAACAGTTGCCAATTGAGGCAACAACAGAGGCTGAATCACAGTCAATAATCGAAGATCAAAATGACTTCGTGTTCGATGTACAAGATTTGATGGCATCATTCAATCCTGAGCTAGAATTAGTTTCAAATAACACAGAATCAGAGCTAGCCAAGTACATCCAGGAGGATATTGTCCAACTCGACTTAGAATCACAAGATGAACAGCCTTTGTACCAAATTATCATCACAGAAGATGCACACTTCACAGTCAATAAACTCAATGTTCCAGAAACAACAAAGACAGGTTTAGCTAAAAAAATGACACGAAAAAGGCAACAAAGAATCCAAGAAGACATCAACAGCACATCACTAACAGGTTACAAGTGTGGATTTGGTTCCTGCACAAGATCTTTCTCAACACAAAGCAATTTAAGACGACATGAACATTTGCATGGATCAAAGAAGCTGCATAAGTGTCAAGTTTGTGGCAAGGAGTTCATGCAGAAGGAGTACTTGAAGAAGCACATGGTGACACATTAAGGAACAAGAATTAAGTGTAAAAAAATCTGTAAATAAAATTAGATAAAAAGAAAATTTGAGTTTTTTTTTAAGTTTTGTGGTCATTTTCAGGTTTTATTCAGCATATTAATTCAAAAGATGACCAGAAGAGCAGCAACAAAATTGCAATAAATTCAACAAAATCACATCAAAGCAAGAAAAGAGAAAATTTCACTCGCGTGTCTCTATTTGCTTTATTTCTTCGAATTTAATTCCAATTCCAATTCCAATTGACTCTCAAAATGATTTCTTTTCCATGTGCACATCAAAGTCCAATCTTCCTGTCATTGTCTTCGTCTTGTTTGCTGCTCTAATTCCTCTTCTTCGTCTATTCGTGTGAGGAACTCGTAGATGCATGAAGATGTTCCAATGCACATGATTGACATTTTCGCTTTCCTATTTCTTTTGACTTTAGCTTTGCCTTGCTTGAAATCTTTTATAGACACTAATTGTTGGCAATTCCTCGAGCTGAGCTGAGTTTTCTATTCGAGGTCAATGTTGAGGGTTAAATTGAAGTTTTTATGTCGAGGTCAAAAGGTCGATTCTATTCCTTAATTGAGTGCTAAATGGTTGACTGGCTTGGCCTGGACTGTCTAGTCGCAACATTTGTACAATATATCGCATATGTGCAGCCAATCATCCATAAACTTTGCATTTATTTTATTTATTTATTTTGCAACAGATGCTAAATTGTGCCAAGAATGCTTCCGATAGACTCACAATCGAGGACTTTACCGGGGACGAGACATAAAGGAACAAGGAAAAGAGAAACTGAAAATTGGGGCACAATTAAATTTGATTATCGGCAAGGAACCGACCTGGAACTGTGTGTAAGTTTTACAGACAGAAGCAATTAAAATTTAAAGAACATTTTTTTGAAGGTTAAAGGCTGAGAATTTTTTGCTTTGAGGGTTTCGAGGTCGGAAGTGGAAGAAGAAAATTAAAAAAAATATTTTTGAAGGTCAATTTTCGGTGCTGTGTTGTAATTCAGGTGGAATTTTAATGTATTTTATTGTTGATGTGATGCTGAAATGTATTTTGAGTAGCTGATGGGTCAGATGTGAGTATGATGGACTTCCACTCATGTCAATAGATCAATACTAGCTTAAGGAGGCTCAATGTGACATTCAGACATCCAATAAGTCCCGGTATAACTGAATTTAGCAATTCATAGCCAACATAACCTCAAAAACTAGTTCTTAATATTCCTAGCACGTCCCAGCTATTAACTGCAGATCATAAAGACTATTTAAACTCATCTCATATTCCAAATGTATAGAACAGCACAAAAAAAGTTGCATCAGAAGCAGAGCGAATTTTTGTTTGAATTTCCTGAAAATGCTAAGTGAAATAAAAAAAAAACCACGAGAAGTGCTTCAAAAATCATCATCAGATGAGCCATAAAAAATCATCATAATATGCTTATGAATTTAATGTGCGAGAACATTTAACATTTAATTCCTCGAGCTATAAAAATGAGCTTTTCTGAAATAAAAAAGAATAAAAAATATGAATCGAGATTTTTCATGTGCCACAGCCACACAAAAGGCGTTCGTTGACTCTCGATTAACACATTATTAATTCACAAACAACAACAAGAACAACAAATTTGCCATGTTCATGTTCATGTGCATCCAATGCCTCATTGCTTGCATTCTCTCCTTCTTTGTCTCTTTCGCTTGCAGATTCATGGGATTCGATGTATTTTATATGGTGTGAAGAGTTGAGATGTGGGTTTAAGTGAGGCGGGCTGAATAGATTTTATTATGTTTTTACAGTTTTTCACTCAAATTTGATAACTTTAGTTTCTAATAATCTAAAACTTGGTTCTAGAATTTAAAACTGAGCTTGGACAGTTAAAAAATCATCAAAAAGGACAAAGCTATGCCCAAAGTATCCAAAGATAACAATTTTGAAATTTCAGCCCGCTAATTAACAAACCTCCCCTCAACTCCTCACACATCTTCCCATTCTGCTCTCTTTTGCTCAGCTTTTATCGCATTCTTATTCATCTCTCGAACTTTTTTCCATTATTTTATTATTTTATGTGTTTTAGATACAATAATATATTGTTACTCTTGTTGTTCTTATTGCTCGATTCCCTCAGCATCATCTCGACTGACTTGTATGCCAGGCACAGGCACACAATGAAGCTGAGGAAAAATGACTACACGATCGAAATGGCAAAGAAATTTGATGCATGAATGTTGTTGTTGTGCCTGTTTATGAATTTCATGTATGTTATTAATAATAATAAAATTTATCCAATTAATCATCTACGGCACTCTCTTTTTGGTACACAAGGCAGCATAAGCATTGGAACTTGAGCCTTTTTTTTATTGTTATTTGTGGATTTATAAGTCATAATGCTGAACATAATGAAATAATAAAAGTCGTGTGTGATATCATCAGTTCTACACACTTTATGGCGTCCACCTGGATGGCTGTGAATCACAAGATGAGTCCTAGTCCGCCCTAGTCAGCCCCACATTCATTGTTCCTCATCGAATAACATGCAAATTGTATCACAATAGAGCATAAAATTCACATATGAGGAGCTAGAAAGTGAGGAAGTGAGATGGAAATATTTGAACATGGTTCATGTCATGCATGAGATTTGGCACGATTATTAAATATTGAATTGGGAATCGGGAGCAACAGACTCTAAAAATGTGAACAAGAAACTTTTGTTGATGTCGAGAAGAATTGAAAAAAATTTATTTTATGTAAATTAATAATTGTGAGACTGTTTTGTTCTATGGTTCTATGGATTGTGATGATGGTGGGTAGGGATTGTTTCATGAACTTCCACGCTGACTAAGGTTTGCCCGCAAATTGCTCAGGAGTCTCTAAAGTGTCTAGAAATGCCAAGAAACTATCAAAAATCAAACAAAAAATTAGAAATTTGATCAAAAAAGCCACAAATTAATTTCCAGAGCATCCCACCTGGAAGTCCATAGACTCATCCTAATAAATTCCCATTCTTAACCTTAGTTTCGCTTACTTTTTATTAATTTCATATTAATCACGTTTTCTATTTCCAAATGACACACGAGTTAAATTCTCCTCAGTCCACAAATTCTCGTTCTTAATTCTCAGTTGCTCGTTGTTCCTCACTAGAAGGCACAAATATACAAAAGAAGAGAATAAGATGAGCTCACAAAGATTGCCTCGAGGAGATAATAAAGTAATTTTCACATTATTATCCATTATGCGACCCCTCAACTTAGTCTTAAATTTAAATGAACTTTTTTTTATTGATTTTTCTTCATGGATAATTTTTTGTTACGTAAGACACAAGTGGAACTGGAAGTGGAAGTTATGAGATGAGAGAAAATATTATTTAAGATAAGAAATTGGGAAAAGAAATGCGCGCATATTTTGTGTAAAAGAACACGAAATTCTGTTGTGGAATTTAATTATTGTTTAGTTTTGAGGGGTGCAAGGGATGGGCACTTGGAGATTTTTTTATATTCAATCTGAGTTATTGGATCGTTAGTGACTTGAGAAGGTCAACTATGATGTCATTATGGTGAATTCAAGGTCATGAGGTCTGCTTTGACGTCATAAGGTTGCCTTTGGTTGATATTAAGTGAATAAGGCAGATTATGATGATTTATTGTCGATTCTGAAGCTTGAAGGTTGTCTTTGAGGTTGATGACGGCCAGTTGGGTCCTAAAGCTATTCATGCTCTTGACTAGCTACCAATAAGTCATTTTTAACCTCGAAATTCTGAACATAACCTCAAAGTGTTGCACATAACCTCAAATTTTTGCAGATAACCTCAAAATGTTGAACATAACCTCAAAATTTTGCAAATAACCTAAAACTACTGCAGATAACCTTGAAATGTTGAACATAACCTCAAATTTGCAGATAACCTCAAAATTTTGGAAATAACCTCAAATTTTTGCAGCTAACCTCAAAATTCTCCACATAACCTTAAAAGTTTGCAAATAACCTCAAAATGTTGCAAATAACCTCAAAATTCTGCAAATAACCTCAAAATTCTGCCCATATGCTTAAAATTCTGCACATGATCTCAAAAGTTTGAAAATAACCTCAAAGTGTTGCAAATAACCTTAAAAGTTTGCAAATAACCTCAAAATTCTAAACATAACCTCAAAAAACAGAAGCCTTTCCATAATTCCTCACAGTACCCATCCCTATGCTCTAATTCCATCACCTCTTATTCTTCCTCAATCCAACACAAATATTCATATTCATCCACATTTCGTGATTATTAATAAATGCAAAGTCATATTCAGTCATACAATCACACGAACCATATATTTTTTGTTCATTTATATAGCATGTAGGTTAGATGATGTTATGTTCATGTTCATAATGCTATGTCTTACCTTATGTTGATACTAGTAAGTGCTGAAACAACTGAATAAAATTCAAAATCAAACTAATTATCCTGAAAAAATAATTAAAATCATTAATAAGCTTCAAGTTAATGAACAATAGAGTCAATCTAGTTCTTCTGGTTCTGACAAATTTTCATCAATTTATTTTTCTTCAATTTTCTTGGAATTTTTCATCAACAAAATTATTCTTAAATAAAATACACATTATTAATGTTGTGTAATAAAGGATGATGTTGGAAGTGGATGGAGAAGCTGTGCTTAAAACTAGTAAAATTTATTGCTGTCAATTTAAGAAGAATGAAAGCATATTTAATGATGGAGGTGAATATGGATGGGTTGTGCAGGGCTGGAGGGTGTGGGATCTGCCAAATCAACCTAGGAAAGCATCATAGAGCCGAAGGGTGTAGGCTCAAAAATCATTCGAGTGTCTCCACACAATGACATATTGACGCAAATTCAACAAGCCAGACCATGCGATAATGTCCAATAAAATATAATCTTTATCATATCGCTCATTATTATTATTATCGGAACCACAATAATATTTGTTGTTGTTGTCGTTGCCGTTTCTTAAAACTTATCGCTCTTATCAATATTACATTTTTTTTCCTATTAAATTTTTGCACGCGTATCAGTTGATTGTGAAGTGTTCTAGTGGATATAATGACAGAAACGATTGAAAATTAAAATGTGATTTTTTTATTAAATTTTAGAAAAGTTTTTTTAAAAGTTGTTAAGAATTTATTTAATTTAGTGTCAATTGTTTAATTTATTTTTTTTAAAAAAGAATATTTTGAAAAAAGTTGTTGATCAAAAATGGTAAAAAAAAGTTATTTTGCGTCTTAAAATGTGTCTTTTTATGATTTATGTCGACATTTGACTTGCATGGCATTTAAAGAGCCAGGAAGTATTGCAATATTCAAGTTCAGAATGGTTCTTAATTACCTGCAAATAAAGAATTAATGGAAAATATAATTTTTGTAAAACGACACATTTACATTATTTACATAAATGACTTGATAGAAGTTTTGGTGATTAACAAGGTGTGATTGTGTGGATTGTTGTCAATACAATGAAGTGTTTAGAACAGAGTTGGGGATGTGATGGCTACAGATTTGATAATAATTCAGCTGTAGCTGTCAAAATGGTTAGTTTAAGTAGCGCTTAGCTTCATAAACTCTCAGCTTGACTAAAGCTTAGCATGAGAAACGCTCAGATTGGCTCAAGCTCAGCTTGAAAAAAGCTCAGGTTGAAAATTGAGCAGATTTAAAAACGCTCAGCTTGGAGAACACTCAGCTCGAAAAACGCTCAGCTTGAAAATGTTCAGGTTGAGAAATGCTCAGCTGGATAATTGAACAGATTTAAAAACGCATAGCTTTAAAACGCTTGACTTTAAAAAAAACTCAGCTTCATAAACTCTCAGCTTGACTAAAGCTTAGCATGAGAAACGCTCAGATTGGCTCAAGCTCAGCTTGAAAAAAGCTCAGGTTGAAAATTGAGCAGATTTAAAAACGCTCAGCTTGGAGAACACTCAGCTCGAAAAACGCTCAGCTTGAAAATGTTCAGGTTGAGAAATGCTCAGCTGGATAATTGAACAGATTTAAAAACGCATAGCTTTAAAACGCTTGACTTTAAAAAAAACTCAGCTTTTGAAACGCTCAGCTTGATGAAGCTCAGCTTGAGAAACGCTCAGATTGGCTCAAGTTCAGCTTGAAAAACGCTCAGGTTAAAAATTGAGCAGCTTAAAAAATGCTCAGCTTTAGAAAAACTCAGCTTGAGAAACGCTCAGATTGGCTAAAGCTCAGCTTAAGAAACGCTCAGGTTGAAAATTGAGCAGATTTAAAAACGCTCAGCTTTAGAAAAACTCAGCTTGAGAAACGCTCAGATTGGCTAAAGCTCAGCTTAAGAAACGCTCAGGTTGAAAATTGAGCAGATTTAAAAACGCTCAGCTTTAGAAAAACTCAGCTTGAGAAACGCTCAGATTGGCTAAAGCTCAGCTTGAGAAACGCTCAGGTTGAAAATTGAGCAGATTTAAAAACGCTCAGCTTTAGAAAAACTCAGCTTGAAAAACGCTCAGATTGGCTAAAGCTCAGCTTGAGAAACGCTCAGGTTGAAAATTGAGCAGATTTAAAAACGCTCAGCTTTAGAAAAACTCAGCTTGAGAAACGCTCAGGGCTAAAGCTCAGCTTGAGAAACGCACAGGTTAAAAATTTTGCAGATTTAAAAACGCTCAGCTTTAGAAAAACTCAGCTTGAAAAACGCTCAGATTGGCTAAAGCTCAGCTTGAAAAACGCTAAGATTGGCTAAAGCTCAGCTTGAGAAACGCTCAGGTTGAAAATTGAGCAAATTTAAAAACGCTCAGCTTTAGAAGCGCTCAGCTTGTAAAACGCTCAGCTTGTGAAACGCTCAGCTTGAGAAACGCTCAGGTTGAAAATTGAGCAGATTTAAAAACGCTCAGCTTTAGAAAAACTCAGCTTGAAATACGCTCAGATTGGCTAAAGCTCAGCTTGAAAAACGCTCAGGTTGAAAATTGAGCAAATTTAAAAACGCTCAGCTTTAGAAGCGCTTAGCTTGTAAAACGCTCAGCTTGAGAAACGCTCAGGTTGAAAATTTTGCAGACTTAAAAACGCTCAGCTTTAGAAAAACTCAGCTTGAAAAACGCTCAGATTGGCTAAAGCTCAGCTTGAGAAACGCTCAAGTTGAAAATTGAGCAAATTTTAAAACGCTCAGCTTTAGAAAAACTCAGCTTGAGAAACTCTCAGTTTGGCTAAAGCTCAGCTTGAGAAACGCTCAGGTTGAAAATTGAGCAAATTTAAAAACGCTCAACTTTAGAAAAACTCAGCTTGAGAAACGCTCAGATTGGCTAAAACTCAGCTTGAGAAAGGCTCAGGTTGAAAATTGAGCAGATTTAAAAAAGCTCAGGTTTAGAAAAACTCAGCTTGAGAAGCGCTCAGCTTGTAAAACGCTCAGCTTGCAAAACGCTCAACTTGAGAATAGCTCCGCTTGTAAAACGCTCAGCTCAAAAAACACCAAGCGTAAGAAAAGCCCAGCTTGAGAATAGCTCAGCTCGAAAAACGCTCAGCTTGAAAATGTTCAGGTTGAGAAATGCTCAGCTAGAAAATTGAACAGATTAAAAAACGCATAGCTTTAAATCGCTTAGCTTTAAGAATGCTCAGCTGGAGAAACACTCAGCAAAAATAAAAATCCTTTTCTATAAAAAACAAGAGCGAGTCATAAACCATAAACCTTCATATGCTCCCCGGGCTTCCATAACTGACGCAAATGATTAAATAAGCTGACTTATTATCGAAAATATAAGCACATTACCTATGAATCATTCTCGATTGAATCTGAACTAAATTTCTTTTCCGATAAATTTCACATTCAATTCGATTCTCCGATTCACATTCTATTTTTACATTTGCCAACCTAGTAAGTGCAAGAAAACGTGACATTATAAGTAAAATGATAAGAAAAAGCTATCAAAAACAAGTGACTCTGATTTTTTTAAATATTTTTTAGTATTTACGCACCAAAGCTAGACATGAATCTAACCTTATTGAAATACAATCAAAGATTGCCGCTAATTTCCATCCATGTGTGATTCCAATCCACAATTACAATTTTAATACAGCTGAAAAAAATGTGTGAAAAAAAAAAACTTGTAATCATTTGCGAGTATTAAGTCTTATCAGTTGATTGATAACAAATTTCAGAAAATACAAATGTGATAAAAATTGCTCGTTAGCAGTTGTCTTCCTAGTTTCATACATGAAAGTTCAAACGTAAAATCATTTTTTTTATAGACAATTTATTAAATAATAACAATTTATTAAATGTAGAATTAATTCTGTCGATGGTACAAAACACGTGCGAATTTTAAGATTAATGTGAATTGTTGATTGTGAAAAAACGATGACAGATGAGGTGGACTTGGTTGACGAGTCTGAATTCTTAAGAGAGGTAGGGAAGTTTTTTCGGATGTGAATTCCTTTAGGGTGATTTTGTCAGAATTTTATGAGTGACTTTTGAGTGAAGTTCGATGTAGTTTTGTGTATCTTTGGGTTCATTCTTAGTTTTTGTGCTTTTTTGAACCGTTTTCTTGGTTAATTATAACAATGCAGGCCCTGTGGTAGGTTTTCGGCTATGACGGTATTTTCTAAGTTTTTAAGGTTGTTCTGTACGGTCAAAACACTACGACCTTAGTTTTTGGCGGGAAAATCTTAATTTGGTATAAATAACAAATAATCTTAGTGTTATTCAAAGTTTTTTACACCAGAAGTGTGTCTTGATAATCTAGAAGATTTGACCAACACATCAGAGTATCGGGAGCTAAAGTTTGAGAAGAACTGACCTATGCCTTCTATGAACTTATTGCAAAGCATCTCAAATTCCACACAAAATCTCCATAACGGGCATATTTCACTATCAGTTAAAATCTTATCAACGCATTACCTTAATGATATCTTGTGTTATGTTCATTTGTATGAAATTATGTGGAAATAAAGTTTAAAAACCAAATCGATCAATGCTAATTAGTTGACAAGATTCGACCATGAAGTGAACATTTCATTGTGAAAAAATAATTTGATGGAGATTCAGGTGTGGCTTGTTAAAATTTAAATTTAATTTCTAAAATTTCAAGTTTTATTTGTTATTTTAAACTGTCAAAATTGCCTAAAGATCTGATGAACTTTTTAAATAATAGCAAAAAAATCACTGTAAAGTCGATTATAAAAATGAGCAAAATTTGATGATTATTAGCAAAAAAATGACAGCAAAGCCGTGATTTATGTGATTTTATACAAAAATGCTTGAAAATTTTTAACAGAATTGATAAAAAATTGATTCTTTTAGTGATAAAAAAAAATATTTTATCAGTAAAGTTCCTTCCTAAGTTGCAATAACTAAGGGTTGAGTTCGGTAAAAATGGGATTAATTACTCAGGCTCGAGATTTCCGGCATAATCAAACATACTCGAAGGTTTAGATGTAAGCTTAGGTTTGATTTAGAGTACGGTACAATTAGACTAGATAAAGTGCGTTACAGGATAGGGATAGCTCAACTCCATAAACACATAATGTAGTAGCGAACATACCTAATTAATACACATCAAAATCCAATCCAAACACCACAATCACATCCAAAACACCGCGCATAGATAACAAAAAAAACGCACAATTTCACACACATTTTTCTTTCATAACGTAATATTTTTATTTTTTATTTCTAGGGAAATCGCCTATCATCAGAGGATGACTCACTCCGCATACAAATTGGAGGATACAACTACAATGATAAGAAGTCAAAACTTAACGCCCGGCAGCAGAATCGAATTGTATCGACAAAATATACATTGTTGACATTTTTACCGCAGAATTTGTTTGAACAGTTTCGTAGGGTAGCTAATTTCTGGTTTTTAATTATGGCAATTATTGCTCTTGTGATAGGTGAGTTTAATATTGTCTATGGTTGTAAATGGTGATAAGAATCGAGGCTTGATGAGGTTGTTGACACTGATTTGTCTGGTTATTTTCCTGATTGGGTGTTTATCTACTTCTACTTTGCATTTATTCTAAATCTTCTTTGCATCTCTTCTGTAACTTCTTTGCATCTCTTTTGCATCAGATTTGCATCTTCTTTGCATCTTATGTGCATCTCTTCTACATCTTTTTTGCATTTCTTCTGTATCTACTTTGCATTTCTTCTGTATCAACTTTGCATTTCTTTTGCATCTCTCTTGCATCTTATTTTCATCTTATTAGCATCTCTTCTGCATCTTCTTTGCATCTCTTCTGCATTTTATTTGCATCTTCTTTGCATCTTTTTTGCATCTCTTCTGCATCTTCTTTGCATTTCTTCTGTTTCTACTTTGCATTTCTTCTTCATCTTCCTTTGCATCTCTGCTGCATCTTCTCTGCATCTTTTCTTTACATCTTCTTTGCATCACTTCTACATCTTCTTTGCATCTCTTCTGCATCTTCTTTGCATTTCTTCTGTATCTACTTTGCATTTTTTCTGTATCTACTTTGCATTTCTTCTGCATCTTTTTTGCATCTCTTGCATCTTATTTGCATCTCTCTTGATTGATTGATTGATTAATGTTTATTCGCCCTCTCGGGTAGTTTACAAATCTCTTGCATCTTATTTTCATCTTATTAGCATCTCTTCTGCATCTTCTTTGCATCTCTTCTATAACTTCTTTGCATATCTTCTGCATCTTATTTGCATCTTCTTTGCATCTCTTGTGCATCTTCTTTGCATTTCTTCTGTATCTACTTTGCATTTTTTCTGTATCTACTTTGCATTTCTTCTTCATCTGTCTTTGCATCTCTGCTGCATCTTCTTTGCATCTCTTCTGCATCTTCTTTGCATTTCTTCTGTTTCTACTTTGCATTTCTTCTTTATCTTTCTTTGCATCTCTGCTGCATCTTCTCTGCATCTTTTCTTTACATCTTCTTTGCATCACTTCTACATCTTCTTTGCATCTCTTCTGCATCTTCTTTGCATTTCTTCTGTATCTACTTTGCATTTTTTCTGTATCTACTTTGCATTTCTTCTTTATCTGTCTTTGCATCCCTGCTGCATCTTCTCTGCATCTTTTCTTTACATCTTCTTTGCATCACTTCTACATCTTCTTTGCATCTCTTCTGCATCTTCTTTGCATTTCTTCTATAACTTCTTTGCATATCTTCTGCATCTTATTTGCATCTTCTTTGCATCTCTTCTGCATCTTCTTTGCATCTCTCTTGCATCTTATTTTCATCTCTTCTGCATCTTCTTTGCATCTCTTCTTCATCTTCCTTTGCATCTATTTTGCATCTTCTTTGCATGTCTTCTGCATCTTCTTTGCATCTCTCTTGCATCTTATTTTCATCTCTTCTGCATCTTCTTTGCATCTCTTCTTCATCTTCCTTTGCATCTATTTTGCATCTTCTTTGCATGTCTTCTGCATCTTCTTTGCATCTGTTTTGCATCTTCCTTTTATATTCTTCCACCCTCTTTCAACTTAAGATCAGTCACAAAATCATAACACTAATAAAATATAATTTAGATTCGCCGCTGACACCATTAACGTCCATCCTGCCTCTATTATTTGTAATATCCGTGACAGCTGTTAAGCAAGGTTATGAAGACTTCCTAAGATATCGAGCAGACAACATGGTGAACAAGTCAATGGTTACAGTCATTAGGAACAGTGTAGAGACTGAAATCAGATGTGAAGACATCATACCAGGCGAGCTAATAAAGATAACAAGAGACTGTGATGTTCCATGCGACATGATCCTACTAAAGTCTTCAGATGAAGGCAGATGCTTCATAACAACAGCAAATCTTGACGGAGAGACTAATTTGAAGACACTGATTGTTCCTCGTGGCCTTCCAGACCTTGAAATTGGGAAGCTTCATAATTTAGGTCATATAGAGTGTGAACAATCACAGACTGACTTGTACTCATTCAATGGAAGGATTGAATTGCCACAAACCATCAATAGAGTCAGTGTGATACCTGTGGATGGAGAACTAGAGACTGGGATGCATAATATTCCATTGATGGCTGAGAACTTGATGTTGAGAGGATCAAGAGTAAAGAATACAGAATGGGCGATAGCATGTGCTGTCTATACAGGTGATTTAGTAGATAATCAACTAGTTTGGCACCAAAACTAATAAGAAATCTTTAATTTTAGGTCAAAACACTAAACTTGCACTCAATAGTAAAATAACCAAGAACAAAATGAGCTCTGCTGAGAAGTTCATCAACAAATATTTAGCATTTTTCATCATCCTACTTCTAGCTATGGTCACAGTGTCCTACTTCATCAAAACATACTACGACACTTATCATCCAGAACACAACATCTACATTGGACCAATTGCTGACACATATGCGGTCTCATTGTTCCTTCAAAGCTACTTTTCGTTCTTAATTCTCTTCAACTTTCTGATTCCAATTTCACTTTATGTGACAATTGAGATGCAGAAGTTCGTTTGTGCCTTTTATCTGGAATGGGATCCTCATCTGTATGATGAAGAGACTAACCAGCCGTGCATTGTGAATACTTCCGATTTGAATGAAGAACTTGGTCAGATCAACATTCTGTTCTCGGATAAGACAGGAACGTTGACTAAGAATGAGATGATATTTAAGCAGTGCTCGATAAATGGGAAGATGTTCTCGCAGGAAGGAAGAGGGCTGCAGGAGCCTGGAAAGAATTATTCGTTGAAGATTGGTGAATGTTCGGTGAGTTGACAATGAGTTTTAGATATAACTAGTGATATAGCAAAGGTAGAGTTAGCTGGGGTTGGTTTATTGAGCATAAATCAGCCATACATACTAGCTTGGCCTGAGAATATCCAAGAACTAACCCCAGGACTTTCTGCCTTTGTATCTAAACCTATCTAATCCCACACTAATCTCCAACAATTCCTTTCCAGAGACACGTCTACAACTTCTTCGAAGCCCTTGCTGTCTGCCACACAGTCCAAGTTGCTGGCATGTATGAAGAAGACCAAGATAGAGCAGATGAGGAACTAGCTCTCCTCAATGTGACACCAGAAATCCCAAAAATCTTCCATAAATCTATCGAAGAGCTAAGAGACATTGAGTCAGTTGAGGAGATAGACTTCCTGACTTCAAAGACTTACATCACGCATAGAGGAAGTGTTGAGTACACATTGTCTGATGAAAGTCGACCAATGAGTGATGCTGTGAGAGTTAGGAACATGGAGAAGGCACATACAAGACATTTAAGTCTCAACAATGATGGATTTAGAAATGGCAACACAGAGTTGTCGATATTCACGAATGGTAACTCAGCAGGTAGATTTAGAGAGTCAGCACCAGAACCTAAAATGGTCACCAAAGAAGTAACAATAATTACAAGAGATTCAGCGAACTCTATCGATTCCGATATTTCAGATTCAGTTCCAGTTCGAAAAGCAAGTACTGCTGACTTCAAGCGAGCAATATCCCACAACATTCCAGCCGTAACCACAACCGAAGATAAGATCATTCTCAGTCATCGCAGAACAAAGTCAAGCATTCCATTCGGGATGTTGTCATCTCCAACACAGCTTCCTGATCGACCAGGATTCAATAGACTTACATCAGTAAGAACATCAACAAGAGAATATTATGCAGCACCAGTCTACACATCGACACAACTGATTGAAAGACAAGAGACAATGAAGGAAAGGAAGCAACTAGAGACATTTATAGACATCCTTGACTACATGGCATCATCGCCAGATGAGAAGGCATTGGTTGAGGCTTGTGCTAAGTTGGGAATTATTTATTTAAATGACAATAACGACATTTACACACTAAGGTTGAGGATTAAGCAGAAGAAGAATAATGAAGAGCTTCCTAGAGTCATTGATGAAAAGGAGAACAATGATGTGGTTCAGTTTAAGAGATTACAGGTAAGGATATTGTGCATATAGACTTTGAGAGAAGTTTTTAGCTTCAGGAATTTCAAAGGAGTCTAATGGTGGTCTATAGTGATATATCAAGGTCCAAAAGGATCAAAAATAGTCAAAAGTTATTCAAAGACGCCCATAGAGCTCCAAACTTACTTCATTCCTTACTTTCTTCCATTTTCTCTCAACATTTAACCGTTTATTCCATTTTAGGTCCTTGAATTCACATCCGACCGTAAACGAATGAGTGTCATAGTCATGGACAAGTACGGACAAATTTGGCTCTACACAAAAGGTGCAGAAAGTCACGTCATTCCTCTCTGCAACAGCAAAAGTGCTTCATTATCAGCACAGACACAAAAACACGTTGATGACTTTGCAAAGCAAGGATTAAGAACATTAGCAATAGCCAGAAGAAAACTTACAAAGACAGAATTTATTAATTTTAATAATGAGCTAATTGAAGCCAACAGTTCCTTATCGGACCGTGCTGAACGGGTCGAGAGATGCCAAAGAAAAGTAGAGACTGGATTGGATTTGCTGGGTGCAACAGCTGTCGAAGATGCACTTCAAGATAATGTTAGGGATACATTAGAGTCATTGAGGGCTGCGGGAATCAAGATTTGGGTACTGACCGGTGATAAAGTTGAGACTGCATTGAATATTGCATTAAGTTGTGGACATATATCCGAAAATGCTGCAAAGTACTTTATTGTTGAGTGTCGGAATGAGTTGCAGCTTAGTGGACATTTTGAGGCACTGGAGAGGGAACTGATGAGAAATGAAGGTAAGGAGTTTGGACTATTGATTGATGGATCAAGTCTAGCATTCGCACTTGATCACTGTCCTGAAAGGTTTAGAGATTTAGCTTATAAATGCCATGCTGTGCTTTGCTGTCGACTCAGTCCGCTCCAAAAATGTAAAGTTGTCGGCCTAGTCAAGACGGTTCATGACAAACCAGTCACAGCAGCTATAGGAGATGGAGCAAATGATGTCAGCATGCTGCAGGAAGCACATGTTTCATTAGGAATAATAGGCAAGGAAGGAAGGCAAGCTGCACGCTGTGCTGACTATGCATTTGCTAACTTTTCAATGCTCAAGCGGATTGTGCTGCTTCATGGACATTACTTTTCACATAGACTATCACTTCTGGTGCTGTACTTCTTTTATAAGAACTTAGTGCTGATGGGATGCTTGCTGTACTTCCAGACTGACTCAATGTTTTCAAGTCAATCGGTTTATGACTCGTTGTTCTTGACGCTGTTTAATGTGACTTACACGACACTGCCAATTTTATTCATATCGATTACTGAGAAGGTTCATCCAGAAGAGCAGTTGATGACGTGAGTATTGGTTGGGGTGGGGCTAGGGAGCTGATATTAATTATTTCTATCATTTTCATTCCCCAGGAACCCATCACTGTACAAAACAATATCAAGGAACAAACTATTCAGCTGGCCATACTTCAATGGATGGATGCTGCTCGGCTTCTATCATTCACTCATCATTTACTTCTTCACACAAGCCATCTGGAAGGAGAATGATGTGCTGTTTTACAATGGAAAGTCAATGGACTTTATGTGCTTTGGAGTGTCCATTATCCATAATGTTGTGATGGTGACGAATATGAAGCTGTTGATTGAGTCGATTTATAGGACTTATATATTTATTGGGACGGTGTGGCTGTCCGTTTTTGGATTTATTATCACGACTTATGTTTATAATTTGTTTAATGCGTGAGTAGATGATTGGTGACATTTTGAAATTTTTAACTGCTTTTTTAAGATTTGAATTTTTTTTTACATTTTTTTTAAATTGAAGTTTTAAATTTGAATTTTTTTAAATTTTAAATTTGAATTTTAAACTTTTTATAAAATTTGAATTTTTTAACATTTTTCAAATTTAAAAAAAAATTGAATTTTTTAAAATACTTGACTCTTTTTTAAAATGTTAATTCTTAATAATTTTAGTGGATTTGACATGAGCCTGTACATGGTCTACGCAAAACTCTTAATGAACCCATCATTCTGGATATTTTCAACAATCATTACTGCAGCTGCACTCTTACCAGACTTTACAATTAGAGCATTCAGTATTTTACACTTAGGACCTGGAAGACTATTTCCTGGAAACGCAAGAATGGGAACACACAGAAAAGTTGGACCGCTTCTCTCTCAAACTACTTACCTCTAACTTAAGTTTTGTAACCTAAAATGACAAGAAAATTTATTCAACGTAGAAATTGAAACCAAATGTGACGAGTGAAATTAGCTGAAAAAAATAAAAATGATAGAATTTTAAATTAAAATAAAAAATTGTTTTTTGGATTTTTATTTATTTTTATTTTGATATTAGTTTTTGAATTTTTTCAATTTTTTGATTTTTTTTAGTTTTTTCTTTCGTTTTTTTTTATTTTTTGTCAATTTTTTAATTTTTTCTTTCATTTTTTTTATTTTTTGTCAATTTTTTTAAGTTTTTCAATTTTTTATTTTTTTTCAAATTTTTTATATTTTTTTTCAATTTATTATTTTTTTTAATTCTTTATTTTTTTAAAAACTTTTATTATTTTCTTTGTTAAATTTTTTACAATTGTTTCAATATTTTAAATTTATTTAGTTCTATCAATTTTAAACACAGACTCAATCCTACCCATAACCCAGTTAACCATTCATCCCCTTACCTCAGCATCATCAAAAAGAAACACTTTCAAAGTATAAAACCGTATGTATCACATTAATTCACTTAAAAAACACTATAAAATATGATACTAATCTCCTTACATATTTTAAATGTTCAAAAATTAAACTTAACCCTTCTCACATGTCACATAGATTACCATAATAATTTCAAAACTCTCCTTAACATCCTCAACACCCTCACACCCTTCATATTATCAACAATCCTATCCTTAGTCGACCATAGACACTTATAAATACAAAACTACAAAATTTCACATCTTCAAAAGTATTCAATCCCAACCCCAAAAAAAAGTGAGACATAAAAGCCAGAAAAAGGCACCCAAACACATGCCTTTGTGACACTTTTGTAGATGATAAATAATTTTTGTGGTCGAGACGGAAGCAAAAGACGAAGAAGAAAATTGAAACTTGAAAATTTTGTGACATTAAGAAGTTCCCCCCAACCCCCCAACACCCTCAAAGATTTTAATTGTTGACTGCTTTAAATAAATTTATCATTTTTGAATAGTTTTGTTGGATGTGCCAAATGGAAAATTGTCCCACATGTCATAAATTATTGATTTTTATTTTGTTGAGGAATTGAAAATGAGGAAAACTTTTATCTCAAGTTGGATGTCCTCGAGGAGATGAAAAGGTCACCAAATGACACTTGATACATGCAAATTAATCTTTTTAATTTGATTTTTGTTTCTTTTGGGCATGAAATTGAGATGATTTGGATGGGATTGTACATGAAGGGGGTTAAGAGGTATGAGAAGATATTCTTGAGCAGTTTTTGGACTAATTCTGAGTTTGCGGTATAAGAATGATGAAGTTTTGATGTCTTTTAGCTTCAATCTAGTCAAAGCGAATGAAAACTAGCTTTAGCTTGCTAGTAACAAGCCTTTCTAGAGCTAGTCACTATTATTTGCATAACTGAAGATCCAGAAGCATCATACAACTCACTTGAACGTGTATCAACCCACTCAGAGATCTAGAAACCCCTTTAAGCTCCAAAACTGTACTTGACAGCATAAGAACTTTATCAATTCCAGAACTACATCAACAAAACTAGCCCCAACTCATCATAAATCATAAAAATCATAAAAATGAATTCTTATCACAAAGTCATAAAGCAAATCTTTTTCTTTTATTTACCAAGCACTTAATGACTGTAATTATCTCTACAAAAACATCCTCACATTATCAGCTGTAAAGTTATATTCCATAATGATTATATTCAGTACTAAGCGAATCTCCAAATGGATGAGCAAGAACAAGACAAAGTATTGAAAGAAATCAACAAAAATAAGAAATGGTATCAAAAGATCTCCGTGGAACCGACAATATTTTTGTACATTTTTGCATTTTCCTTAACATCAGTCATCGAGAATGTATTTTATGTCTATAAATCTTGTACAGTTAATCACAATTATTCTCATGAAATTTGTATGGAAATTGAGAAGCATGATGAGATAAAGACAGCGGTGCAGGCAACAACAGCAAAGTTTCTACAGTACGACTCGATTGCTGGGCAGATTATACCGATTATATTAGCACTGTTTATTGGATCATTTGCGGATCACAGAGGCAGGTAAGTCAACTAAATCAGACTGTTCAATTTTGCAGATTTTAGAAATCAAACTCCCAATTTTAGGAAGCTGCCACTTCTATTAGGTCTAATTGGCAAGCTAATCTACTCATCAATGATTATTGTCAACAGTCTCATGCCAAACTGGCCAGTCGAGAACATAATCTACACAGCAACTATTCCAGGTGCCATAACAGGAGGTGACATTGCCATATTTGCAAGTGCTCTTGCATACTTAACTGACATAACAACAGAAGCTGACCGAACTGTAAGGATATCAATCTTAGGTGGTGCATATGTAGGAAGTATACCTGTAGCTGTATTGACTGGTTAGATTTGAAGGTTTTAAGTATGTAAACTTGTTGTTAATAAGCCATAAAAATATATTGCAGGCACTTATCTTTACAACTTTTACAACAAGTCCTTTACAAAGATGTTTGTGACGAATGCGGTGCTTATTGTGTTGTCTATACTGTACACTGTCGTCAAATTGGATGTAAGTTGTAATGTCATAGTGTTTTTGAGATTTGAATTAGCTTGGGTATGGCTTGCTGGTTGTTGGCGCTTGAATTCTTGGAAACATGCACCTTTTCGATCTTCAACTGAACCAAAAAACCTCATCTTAGTCGTTATATAATCCACAACCCGCCTTTAGGTCCACAATCCTAAAAAGCTAATCCTTGACATTGCCGTCCATTAAACCAAATCCTAATCAAGGCTCTTAATTATGTTTCAGTGGCAAACAACACCAAAGCAAGTCTCTTTAACAACAATACCAAAAAGTCAATGGATATCCGACTTTTTCGACAAGAAACACTTTAAACAGACAGTCCGAACAGTCACAAAGAAGAGAGACAACAACTACAGACTCTATATAATCCTTATGATGGTGTCTGTGGCCCTTTATGCGATCCAAAGAAGCGAACAAAAATATTTCTTCTTGTTTGCTCAAAACAAGCTGAGTTGGACGACAGAGATTTACAGCTACTTCAGGACTTTTGAGTCTGCATCATATGTGTTTGGTATTTTGGTGGCAGTTCCGATTTTTAGTAAAGTTTTCAAATGGAAGGACACAGTTATTGTTGTGATTGGTGCTTGTGGAAGTATAATAGGAAGATTGTTCTTTGCATTTGTTGGGACGACAGCTTTGATGTATGTTGGAGCTTCTTTTGCTAGTCTTGGGTGAGTTTAGGTGTCTAGGTTAGTGGCGGGCAAACTTTTTTGTGAAATGAGACATAAGAGTCCCGTTGCGCGGTTGTTTCTCATTACCAATCGAGATTTTCATGCTATGTATTATTGCTAGCTTGAATTCAGCACCAAAAAGTATTAAATAATTAATCACTAATTTATTTCCAGTCCAATCATCCTGCCAGCACTCAGATCAATCTCATCCAAGCTGGTTCCATGTGATGAACGTGGAATTATGTTTGCTTTAATATCAGCTTGTGATAAATCAGTGCCTATTATATCTGGAGTTTTATATTCACAAACTTATTTGGCAACGATGAAGGTGTATCCAGCTGGGATTTTTTGGGTGACAATTGTGTCTCAGGCGTTGGTTTTTGTGACTATAATGTGAGTTTTTTTTGGGGGGTGATTTTGATTACCTGAATTGTTGACATTTGGTTTATTGGACAAACATTAATTTTCGGATCTTTATTAAGACATGAAGGAACAAGAGAACTTAACTTTTGATACATACTTTGGCCTTATCATTGATAAAAGCTTCAATTCTAAATCAATTTAATTTTTAATTAATTTCGACAGCTTTATTCACTTCAACAAACGTGACACGGACGTCCAAGGAGAATTTTCTCAAAATAATGATGCGATGATAGAAAATTGTGTGGATAAGTCAGAAATTTTAGAAAAATAAATGATTTGTTTTTAGAATTTTTAACAAAAACTGACTTTTTGTTTGTTTTAAAAATTTACTTTAAGATTTTTTGAAATTATTAATTTTTGGAATTTTGGGTTTTTTGAAAGTTTTTTAAAATTTTCGATTTAATTTCATTTTTTTTTTGATTTTTTTGACTTTTTTGAATTTTTTGACTTTTTTGATTTTTTTAATTCTTTGAGTTCTATCGTATTTTTTAAATTTTTATAAAGTTTTTTTTGAGTTTTTTTATTTTTTTTTAAAATTATTTAAATATAAAAAGTTTTTGGATTACATTCTATTAATTTTTACGTAACAACAAGAAAATAATCAAAATTATTAAAATATACTTTCACTAAAAACTCATTTTATTGATTACTTCCAATATTATATAACTTCACCCACCCCAAAGCATCCACTAGACCCCTTTCTCCACTTTTAATCAAACATATTGATCCAAAAATGCCTCCATTTCCATAAAAATCACCAAACAAGGCTTCATATGGTCGTAAACATTTTTTATTTCTATATTTTTTTCCATACACTTTTTGTGCCACGCCTTATTTCTAATGTCTTTTTTTTATTTTCCACATTTTAACACTTTTATTTCCAAATAAAAAAAAAATTATTTATTTATACTTTTTTTGTATCAATTTTATTACATAAAAGCACGAATCCGAGGGTCGCTATACACACACATATATTTATGCTTATCACATGAAGCACACAGCACAGCAAAAAAGGAAGAAAAAATTTTCCACCTATGAGAACTCTTTTCCATGCTCGAGTCGGAATCGAAAAGCTCCAACGAAAGCTTCAACAATTTTTTTTTGGGGCCTCACATTTTCACATCTTTTATGTTATGTATGTGCCATGCACACAATCGCACACATATACAGCACATTTATGTTCTGTATTTTCTTTTTTTTTGCCTCCTCCTTATTCACATACACAGCACATCCAGCACAACATTTCGGATATGTCACACACGACAAAACCGAGTGATAAATTTTGCTTTTTTTATTTTATTTGTTTGTGTGTGTGAGTGTGTCATGTGAGGATGTATTGGTGATTGGGGTGTGTGGGGAGTCAATATGAGGATATATGTGGATGTGTATCGATGTGTGTTAACCCATTGATGATGGAACTGATGGAATGTTTTGAGTTTTGATCCACAACGTGTGCAATTTTTGGACTAAGAAAGGAACTGAGCTAACTCCTAAGAAGCTTATGCCTCAGAAAATTCCTCAACATAACCTCAAAAACATCCCCAAAACTGTAAAATTTCTTAACAATCTTTTCACTCCGCGCGTCAAATTAAAACTGAATTGAGAAAATGAAAAAAAGTATTTTTGTGCCTGTCCACCAAAGAGTAGAGCCAGCCAGCCAGTCAGCATCATTATTATCAACGCCAATTTTGCCTTTTCCGTACAAAATTCAACAATAGATGAGAAAAACTACAAAAAAATGAGGAGGAAAATTAGATAATTTGAAGATTTTTCAGACACGACCGTCGGTCCGACCAGTGGATACGAAAACTTTAATTCTGTTGTTGTCGAGTTTGGTCAATTTTGAAGTGGGGAGTGGGTAAGTGGGGCAGAAAATTCAAATAAGATGAAAATGGTCAGTCCAATTTGTGCTGTGATCGAGGAAATTTTCCCCTTGTTGAGGGGTTTCTCATCCCATTTTCCGGAATTTCCACACAAAAACACGAAGTTCCCCTCAAAATATTGCGCATATTCCACCAAAATTGTGAAGAATTTTTTTTGTTGTATTTGTGAAAATGTGAAAGAAATTTCAATGAAATAAATTTTCCCGAGTTGAAATTTTTTCTTTTTTAATTTTTAAAGGCATTGAATGAGGAAAATTGAGGAAAATGTTTGAAGGTGAAAATTAGGAAATTTTCTTTAAAGGCTCATCGATTTTATTTTCCATTTTTCTTTGTTATTGATTAAGTTTTTCGGGGTCTCTGGTTTGAAAAATTTGTTGTTTAAAGTTGAAGTTTTCACATTTTTAATTTTTTCTGGGAATATTTTGAAGATTTTTAATTAAATTACAATGATTTTTAGCAAAACTACATTAAATACAGTTTCAATGGCTCAGTTACGACTCAGTTGAGGGGTCTGAATTAGCCAAACCCCTCCAGACACCCAACAAAACCATCTCAAACTCAAAAGTCACATTTGACTCAAATAAAAAGTCATCAAAGGAATTAAAAAGACACGAAAAATTATGACACAAAACAAAAGAAATTTTCCAACCCCACCCAGCCCTACCACAACCCCAAAAAAGTTCCTAATCACCAAAGAAAGACGCGAAATATTTTTAATATTATTTATTTTATTTATTACATCACATAGAAGTGGAAATTCCACAAAAAAAAATAATTTCTCATACCTGCTCTTATATCCAGTCACATATTCAGTCACTGGGGTGAGGCATATGCACGATAATGGCAGCAAAAAAGTATTTTTTAACCCACTCGAATTTTTCCATTTTTTATTGCATTCCATTCGAATATTTTTTGTGACTTCTTGTTCCTTCATCCTTCCTCCACATACACACCTCACTCAATTCTAGTTCTTGTGACTTTGTCTTTTTCTTTCCTCTTTTTGTTTTGTGTGCTTCTTCAATTCATATTTGTAGATATACGCGACATAGTTGAAATGGCACAACAACATGATAATCATAATGGTAATAATCATAAAAATAATATATCTGGAGGAGGGTGAATGGGGTTGAGGGGTTGGGGTTGTATAGTTTTTGGGGTATGTTGGGTTATGTTGCTAAGGCTGAATTTTGGAATTTTTTGTCCGATTTTCTGGCATTTTTTTGACAAGTTTTCTGTCAAAAGTGCCTCCTGCATGCTTGAAGAGCCCAACATCCTAGTACCAAACCTAAAAGACAAAGCCAAATTCAAACTAAAGTCAAGAACTAAAATAGACAAAAAAATGTCGCAATTCTTTCAAATTCGAAGCTCTTATCTAATAATAAAATCAAATAATCGACTTTAATATGTTCCAAGTCGTCATATTTCCATCAGTTCTGTTTCTGTTCAATTCCTTCATGTGCTCTGGTTCCCAATAAATGTTTTTATTTCTCTTTTTTTTGTGGGATTTTCCGAATGAAAATTGAAGATTTTTTGTGAGTTGATAAAGAAAATTGCAAAAAAAAGTGAGCATTCAGGATATCTATGCAGCACAACATATCACATTTGTGAGCAATTTGAATAATAAATGAGGGAAAATTTCAATTTTAATCATAAAAAATAGTCAAAAAAATTGATAACAATCAAACATTCTTGTGACATGACAACTACTTGGTTCCTTCTTTTACTTTACTTCTTGTGCTGTTCTGTGCTGTGTGTTGTGTGACCTCACGAATTTATGTCATTTTTATTTCAGTTCCTTTTTCATTGTTATGTGCATATTTCACTCAACTTATTTTCTTTATTGCCTGTACTTGAACTGTTTTATGACGAAATTAATGTGTATGTTTGTTATGATTGGCATTATTACATGCGAGGGGTTAGGGGTGAGTTATGCATGGATAGTTATTTATTGTAAGGTACTTTATTGAAGGAAGTCTTTTTAAAGTTTCCAAATAGTATTGTGAGGAGCTAGTTTGATGGTTTTGATCAGTGTGCCACGGCAGACTATTGTGCGAATAATTATTGTGCCTTGGCTTAAAAGAGGTTGACCACCACTGCTTAAAATTCTGAGGTTGGAATAGGGTTATGTTTACTAATAAGTGTGGGTGGCTGTAGGTGATCTAACACTGGAGGGTCCAAAGTGAGAAGTCAGATGCTGATACGGACAACTTTTGATACCAAAAACTGGTTCCTTGAGCTTTTATGGGCTTGCGAGTGTTGCCCTCCCTTAGAATTGAATTTTAATGAATAACACTCTGAAGCATAAATACATAACTGACTGTGACTAAGATAAGACACTCCAAATAGCTTTACCAGCCATCCCTGGAGCTTAAAGGAGCTCAAAATAGCGTCAGTGACTCGATAATTATTTGAATCCTTCATTAAAAAGTTAGACTCCTTTCATCTAGAGTTTTAAACCCCCCTCAAGTAGTCAAACCCAACCCTACCCATCACAAGTCACTCAACTTACATCCATCCATCCCATAAACATCGATTAACGACAGTAAAATATTTATTAACATAAGACTTTGTCATTTATTCCATTTAAAATATTAACCATAATACATATTAATATTTTATTATATTATGACACAATTTTATTGATGTTCATCGCATGTTGACAACGACATCGATGGAAGGAAATTTGTTTGACAATATTTTATGTTAATAGGAAATTCATTAAGAATTTTTATTATTCTTCCGTGTAGAAATTGTTGCCTAGTCGATGATGTAAACTCAATAAAATGTTGGAATTAATTATTCATTGATTATTTTTTTTATTGCTGTGGATGTTTTTTTTTTCCTTTGGGTTTGAGGGATTTAGCGGATTGGTGATTTGGAGTTGAAGTGGGGTTTGGAATTTTTTGATGGGGTTTGAGATGTCCAAGACTGATTTTTTATTCAAATTGTATTCTTAAGGTGGTCTAGACTCTATTGGGCTTTCAAGAACATGAAAATAATTGTTCTTTGAGGTGAACCCGAGTGACAAAAAGTAAACGTTGAAACCATAGCTACCTTATGATATGTTTCGACGTGTTGTTGCCTTGTTATTGCCTTGTCGTTGCCACGAGTCATAAAGCATCCATGCAAACGTCGCCTTTACGTCGCTACCATGTCAATATAAACTTTTTTCGCTCGGGGTTGCAACCAAGACTGCAGCTCAAGGACAAAGCCTCGATTGAACCTTCTTCGATACACCACTGAAGTCATACCAGAATTTTCATCCAAATCCTTCCGCATTCTTGATTCAAAATTAAAAATTTCAATGAAAAAAAAATCATTTTTAATAATCAAAAATTCCTACATAACTAGCAAGACCAACTCTCCCATCCAATTCCTTATCCAAGAAAGAAAAGAGAGAAAAAAAAGTCTCAAGAAGTTTGTCGCAATTCTTTTTCACATTTTCTCAAATTCAAGTGCGCGAAGTAAAAAAAATCGGAAGCATATAAAAAAATGCAAAAATTTTCCTCGAGACTCAACTTGATAGCGCTAACGAAGTTTCACGTTGTTGACTCTCGAGTTGATTTATTTATTTTCAAGTGTCATCTTCGTTATATTTTTGCATATATTAAAAATAATGTGGTGTATTAAAATAACATTTGAGATTTGAGAGGAGCTCTGTGGCTGTTGTGGAGAGTTTGGGGGAATTTTTTAAATAAAATTTGAATTTGATTTTCGGCAGGAAATTTAAAATTATTATTGAATTTATTCTTAGTGTGTAGCTAGACTCTAAAAGTTGACACAAATTCCAACTTAATCTGTTTTTTCGCATTTAAACAATTTTATCAAATCTTACCAGACCGGATGTAAGATTATTCTTATCACAGAGGAAGCAATTAACTATTTATCTGATAGTAATTCTACCCGAATGGCACAAGTTTGTTAATCGATCAGAAATACGGCATTAAGCCAGTGTGAATTTGACTTAGTACTGGATTTAAATCGAAGCTAACACCATGCCAGAGTCATACCAGCTTTGCGCTGGATTTCTATTCGATCAACCGACTTGTGCTATTCGGGCTAGTCTTAAGTTCAAGTATCAATTGATTTTTAATAAACAATCTAAATTACGATTGATTTTTTGTCAAATCAACTTCCATTCCTTATCATAACACCTCTAAGATTTCCACGAAATGTCAAGTCTTTTATTCCGTCCAATAAATCCTTTTATATAAATTTCAATTAACCAAAATACTTTCTAGTCGATAAGATATCCATATCACCTGCCTATTTGATTAGATTAGCTCCACGAGTGCCTGACAAATTTGCGACCAAAATCCGATCAGTTTAATTTCAACCTTCAATATTAAAACAAGCAAAATGTTGATTAAAATTTTCTTAATTTTTGCAATTTTTCATCAAACTTACTGTCAAATTGACATGGGATTTGATCCTCGATGTCCAGAAATCGATCCATTTCCACCAATTCATCTACCACACGAATCTGAATGTCATTTGTTCTACAAATGTGCTAATAGACACATTTGGCTCTTCGAATGTCAACCACCATTACACTGGAGTGTGATTCATGATCGCTGTGAATGGCCAAATATAGCACAATGTGATCCAGATGATCTTCCTGGTATTCCAACACCTCCTTCAAATACAACAACTACACTCGGAACTACAACACCAGCTTATTCTGACTGTCCACTTTATGACAATCCAAATAATGTTGTCTTTGTGCCTGATAGAACTAGATGTGATGGATACTTTGTGTGCTTCAATGGAAATAAAGTTCCAAGAACTTGTCATCCAGGACTACATTGGGATCAACAGAATAGATGGTGCGATAATGCAGCTAATGTGCCTTGCAGTTTATAAATTATATTCAGATTAGGAAGTGTGAACAAGGTAAACCTGGAATTCAGGACATTGATGATGGGTTTTTTGGTGATTAATGTGACAAAATTGATTTTTTAATAATTTATTATGTTTTGGCATTTTATAGAATTGTAATAAAAATGTAACTGTGATAGCTTAAGTAATGAGTTTTGTATTAAAATTGGAATGTTAAAAGTTTAGATATTTTAGTAAAGTCACTGAGAGGTTTAAGGAGTTCTGGGCTATCATCCGAACAAATTTTCTACTGTTACTTGAATAAGCTTAGTTTATGGGTACAATTGATGACATTACTGTCAGAAAAATTGACTAAATGATCATTTCGAGTAGCCACATGACCTCCAAACCCTGTTGACCTACATCTGACCTCTACCTCATATCTACATTCAATCTAAAAATAAATCAATTATCAATAATGAGCAGTCATTCCAAGATAACACCTCAATATAATCCCTCAAAAACATCCAATAACAAATAAATCACATAAAAGATATTAAGGTGTAGAAGCATTGACATTGAAAGAATCCAACGTTTGCAAAGTAAAGCCCTTAAAATCATTCTTGATTTACCTGACATGCATCCCACACTAGACCTTTTTACTAAAAATGCGAAACAGATTATGTGTGTCGTTGGCTTGATATATTACTCAGCACTAATCATGGTGAAAAAATGCGTCCTCTGCAAAGATGAATCACTTCCCTGTATAAATCGAGCGAGAAGTACCAGACGAAAAGACTTGATCCTATCTATAGCAAAGAAAAAGGTAATGTCTGATGACATTACTAACATTGGTTGCAAACTGTTTAACGAGCTTCCAGCTGATATTAAGAGTGAAAACAATTTATTGCTTTTTAAATTACAATTAAGAAAGTTTATCTTAAGCAGAAATGTATCCTTAATTAAGCACGGTCAATTTAGTAATAAGAGTTTCAACTTGTAACTTGTAACTTTTAACTGAATTGCAATATTCGAATGGTCAGAAGTATCCGTTGCTCAGTCTGCATCTGTAAAACATCCAGTCATTAATAAGCAATTATATTGCATTTAGTAAACAATTGATTCTTTCTTTCTGCTTGTCTTCGCTGTATACTACACGCTTTTTATCGAGTTAATAGTTAATTTAATCCAATACTCTTGTGCCTATACTCTTATTGCAATGGATACCTATACAAGTGAGGATGAAGTTCTGGAAATAAATGCAGATTTCTCAGACTTCGTATCAGATGATGAAAAGGTTATTGAGCAGATTAATGAAATTATTCCAGATCCAGTGCGAAATGAAAAAGTTTGGTTGAAGTTCTTTAGGAAGGGAAAGGTCCCTTTGATGGATTTACGAGATGATTTATTGATAATGTTAGTCAAAGTTTATAATTTGAGCGTTAATGGAATATATCTGATTGACAAATCGGTCGTTTTGGTCGAAGTGGAGATGAATCGTTCCTCTAAGAACTTTATCATCTTTATTTACGAGGAACGGCTGGGCAATAAAATTGTCAATCGTAATTCTTTCGATGATGTTAGGAAACTTTGTGACGGGAAATTCTCATTATCGATAAATAATGTGGTACTGTTTTTGGTAATATTTCCAAACACGGAATTAATTTACGTTCCTTGCAAAACTTGTTCTTTACCATTTGGGCTCTCGAATGGTGATTTGATTAATGTTGAATCGATTCCCTTCTTTATTGATGAGAGATTCAATATTTATGAGTGTCTCCTAGCACTGCAAGGTGAGCTGGATAATAATGTAGACTGTCTTATAGGAATTAGACTCGAATCGGATAATGAAGCTGAAAATACCGCTCGAATAAGGTTTAGCTTTAAACTTAGACACCTAACGAATACAATCTTAATTAAACTGAGGAAAATCTTCGGTATGATGCAATTCTCTTCTGCCACAATTCATCTCCTGCCTCTTATTAACGTCATATCAGGTGAATCAAGCTCTGCTCAAGTTCCTGAATTCAATTGTGGATTGATCAATGCGGATCTCATGTACCCTCAGTCGTGTCGTGATTCTTCTCAGGATCAGGGTAACAAAAATCTTAATTTAGCTAACTTATCTCATTTCAGGCGAGTCGGCAAGAAAACGAAAAGGAAAAAAAGTCATTCATCGCTTTATAGACAGACTTCGAGTAACATTTAAATTGATCATAGTCATCGCTTCCATGTTCTAAATGAACAAATAATTAATTGAAATATTGTTTTGGAATGTAACATAATTACTCTGTAATATCTTTATTTTTTTTTTTACGCGACCGTAATGGTCCAATAAAACTATGAAATGAAAAAATGAAATGTGACAAAATTGATTTTTTAATAATTTATTATGTTTTGGCATTTTATAGAATTGTAATAAAAATGTAACTGTGATAGCTTAAGTAATGAGTTTTGTATTAAAATTGGAATGTTAAAAGTTTAGATATTTTAGTAAAGTCACTGAGAGGTTTAAGGAGTTCTGGGCTATCATCCGAACAAATTTTCTACTGTTACTTGAATAAGCTTAGTTTATGGGTACAATTGATGACATTACTGTCAGAAAAATTGACTAAATGATCATTTCGAGTAGCCACATGACCTCCAAACCCTGTTGACCTACATCTGACCTCTACCGCATATCTACATTCAATCTAAAAATAAATCAATTATCAATAATGAGCAGTCATTCCAAGATAACACCTCAATATAATCCCTCAAAAACATCCAATAACAAATAAATCACATAAAAGATAAAAAAATCTGCAAAAAAAAAAATAAAATCTTGCCGTGACCAGGATTCGAACCTGGGTTACTACGGCCACAACGTAGGGTCCTAACCACTAGACGATCACGGCCAATGCTCAATTTTTGAGTTGTTTTTAACATTGGAAATTGTTTGTATTTAAACTACACCAAACCATAAAAATTTTATTCGACGCTGAGAAATGAAACAAGAGCAAAACAGAAACTCGAAGACACAAAAAAAAGTGAGCGTTAATAATTGAAGCAATCAATGAAATTAAATACCAAATAAGAGCGAAAGAAAGAGAGGAGAAAGTGAAATTAAATGAAAATGTAATCTGATACAGCAAAATAAAGAAATAATAAAAATATTAACGGGATCATAATATTGAGATAATTTTAAAGTCGCAGTAGCTAGGTGATTAATCATATGTGCTGTGACGTCATATCAAGTTTTATTGTTGATTATTTATTTCTTTTTATTTTTGGGGACAGTTGTTTTGATAGAGTCTATGGTGTGTGTTTTTGGGGGTTTGGTTATGGAATTTTGAGGATTGTAATGTAGAATTGGAAGTAAGAAGCATCAATCTTGCTTCAACTGGTCAGTATTTAGACACATCTTATCAGTTCACCCATAAAATGACTCTCTATGGCCAGTGTTGACCCTCTGTGGCCAGTATTGACCCTCTGTGACTAGCATTGACCATCTGTAACTAGCATTGACCCTCTGTGACTAGCATTGACCCTCTGAGACTTGCATTGACCGTCTGTGACTTGCATTGACTTTCTGTGGCTAGCATTGACCCTCTGTGACTAGCATTGACCCTCTGTGACTTGCATTGACCCTCTGTGACTAGCATTGACCCTCTGTGACTTGCATTGACCCTCTGTGACTAGCATTGACCCTCTGTGACTAGCATTGACCCTCTGTGACTAGCATTAACCCTCTGTGACTTGCATTGACCCTCTGTGACTAGCATTGACCCTCTGTGACTTGCATTGACCCTCTGTGACTAGCATTGACCATCTGAGACTAGAATTGACCCTCTGAGACTAGCATTGACCCTCTGTGACTTGCATTGACCCTCTGTGACTAACATTGACCCTCTGTGACTAGCATTGACCCTCTGTGACTAGCATTGAGCCTCTGAGACTAGCATTGACTTTCTGTGGCTAGCATTGACCGTCTGTGACTTGCATTGACCCTCTGTGACTAGCATTGACTCTCTGTGACTTGCATTGACCCTCTGAGACTAGCATTGACCCTCTGTGACTAGCATTGACCTTCTGTGACTAGAATTGTCTGTCTCTGACTAGGATTGACCAAGTCCTTTGTGACTATAATTAACATCCTGCGACTAGGAATGAACCACTTTAGCTAAAACTGTCAATCAATAATTAGCACCTCTTCACAACCATCATTAGCTCAAAACATTCTACTAGCTACTATAATTTCAATAATATCAGCATAACCTCCTCTAAAACACCCCCAATATCCACTAACCTCTCCTAATACAATCTCCAAAAAAAAATCCACAACCACCGTCATCAACTTCAACTTAACCGAATGAGCAAAGCACAACAAAAAAAAAGGGAACTTCATCAGCGTCAAGTGTGCTTATAATTTGCAACAATTTCGACTCAAATGAATGACTTTTTTATGAACTCAAAATTGTTTGCATACAACGATATGAGTGCATGCACTTGAGAACGATGCGATGAATGCAAATGAAAAAGTTTATGCACATGCCACTTGTAGATTCATCGATGCACATGTTGTACAGAAGAGTGAGTAAAGGAATTTATTTCGTTGGATGGTGCTTGGTGGATGCTGCTTGGTGTCAGGGGATGGGAAGGTTTTTTAATTATTTATTTTTTGAGGTTTTTAAAATTTTTTTGAATTTTTTGAATTTTTTGAACTTTTTTGAATTTTTTGAACTTTTTTGAATTTTTGGACTTTTTTGAATTTCTGGATTTTTTTGTAAATCAAAATTGTGTAAACTTAATTGTTCATTTTTTTTTAAAAAAAACATCACTTGCCGAATCCCCCAAAAAACCCTCAAGTTTCCATCTCTAGCCACCCAATCCCACCCATAATCCCCAACTCCAGTCGTCTACTCGCTATTTATGACTTTAATTTTCACATTTTTAAATTCACTTTACTTTCTATTACGAGAACATTGAGAGAATTACTGAAAAAAAAATAAACCAGACGAGATGAATAAAAAAAATATAAATTTGAATAAAGGAGGAAAAGAAGCGAAAGTAAATTGCGGAAGAACAAAAAACGAGAATTTTTTTTTTGCCATTTCCATTCTTTTAAAGATTACGTTTTTGCATAACAAGACGCGATTTTTTTTATGTTTCAACCTTGAATTTATTTCTGTCTTGTATCTTTGCTTTTTTGTTCGTCTCTGTT